ACGCGTGTAAAATACATTGTTTATTTACATGAAATTCGAACACACGCTGCGCAACGACTACCGCGCTTTAAGCTAAGCTGTAAGTGAGAGGTATAAGTTAATGACGAAAATGAGGGGTAGGTGGAACAAACAAAAAGTAAAAAATAATCTACCCCCAAAATCTGATCCTCCTGGCTCCTGCACAAATAATGTTAGTCCCATTGTAATTTTTAATCTGAAACAACAAAATGTTCTTCATTATTATTACCACCACGAGGTCAACAATATTTGATGTATATTCATAACCTGTTCTATAAAACTTGTAATTATCCCTGTCCTGTAAGAATAGTTCTTTAGGGCAGCTGACTGCACACTAGAACAGTTTGAAGATTGTTGCAAATTATTTGTGGAGAAAAATAAGCCGTGAACGTCACTGAAACACATTATGGACTGCATATTAATATGTGTGGGTCCAGGAGTGAATTTCATTTTTATGACTTCTTTCCACAGGGAGAGACAGCAACAGTTGGAAGAGCTGAGTAAAGAACTTAACAGGATAAATGAGGAATGCAGACTTCTGAAATCAAAGATGAGAGCTTTAAAAGTTAGAGATGTGAGTTCACTCTACAATTCCCTGTCACAATTTCCCCTGAAGATAGTTTATAGCGAGAGTATACAACACATAGCAAAAGGTCAAGCCTTATAAAAATTGCGAAATTACTCCATATTTGGAGTTGGCATTTCCTAATACGGTATGATACAAATAATAATGTATGTACATGTAGATACACTGACAGGTGTATAATATTACGAGGATACCTCAAAGTATGCACAAAAACAGAACAGCTGGAGTATCTACCATCGTGCAGCGGAGTACTGTCTGAGTGCATACTTTGAGGTATCATCGTAATAAGCTTATTATTATACATCTTTTCCTCCCAATGATACATCATAGGAATGCCGAAATCCAAAACGTTTAGAACAGAATCGGCGAACTTCAAACCCTGGTGGCAGCCATGTTTGTTTTTATGATTAGAAGACGCTTACCACTAAATATTAGGAATTTGCATTTCCTAATATGGTAGGATGAAAATACCGCAAAATTACGGCACGCTGTAACTTATGGTGTTATGGTGACAGATGTATTATAATACTAAGTATCATACTAATTCAAGATTATTATTCATTTTGTTAATTTGTTTTTTCTTCAGGAAAACTGTCAGAATTGTCAAGATCTTTTGAAACAAGTCGAACATAAGAGAACCACAATTGAGAACCAAGAAGCCACAATTAAACAACTAGCAACATTATGCAAAAAATTTGAACTTCAGTTAACACAACAGGTAGAATATAAAAGATGACACTATACTCGGCTCCTTTCAGGTCTAACTTCATTCAAATGCTATGCTTGCTTCTTTTTCGAATAATCTTTTGGTTGAAATCTGTGCATACTTTTCATTACCTGATTACCCTTATGTTTAGACAACACAAATGGTTGTTCAAAATGGATATAGCTCCCATGTTGTGTACACACAATTCAAATCACGCAAGGATTGTGGTGCTTGTGTCGATTTCTGGTACTTTGCATATAGATGAGCTATTCAACATAAAATTTACTAAAGTAGAGTTAAATACATGTTCATTTCAAATATTTGAATAAATAAATTACCCTTGCATGATATTTTGCCCACTGATCCCAATATTCACATTTCATTCATTTTGATTTCAAAATGTCTTATGATGACGTGTCTCCTTTTGTTATAGGACGACCTTTTGAAGCAGTGGGCAGACAGCAAAGGTTATAAAATTGGGACTGTACCAAACAAAAGATGAACATATTACAAGGGTCCAAGTTGTTCCTCTGAAAAATCATGGGAATTCTCATTTGAGGAATATTTTAATCCTGTTTGTTTCCATAGGAAGAGTTTATAATACTTGCCAAGAAGGTACAGAAACACTGATAACAAGTTCACTTATTACAAGTCACTGATGATGACGACCAGCGCTGATAACGTCATAAACTATGATGAACAGTCACAGCTGATGATAACAAGTTACAACTAATGATGACCAAAACATCAGTATGGTTACCATACAGTACAGTATAATTTGAGCTAGTCACAACTGATGGTTTAGAACATTCACCATATTTCACGAGCCAAATCTTAGCAAGTTACCTGAGGATTCAGGTCAGACTTTGGCGAATTCGTTAATTAACTCATAACTATGCAAAACTGAATCTAAAGCCAATTAAACTTAAGTATTAATTGATGAATATTTAAAATGTCAAATAGCTATTTAAATTATTCATAATACATGTTGAATTTCTACGTGAACAAATCTGTGAACATAGCCTGTAGTTGGTTTATTACACTCCGTCCATGATGTGCTAATATTTAGTTTAAGATTCATTATAAAATTGTGACCCAATGATTCTGTCTTCACAGAATTTACTCTTCCAGTAATAATTTATCTATGCATTTAAAAAAAAGATTGGTGATTTTTAATCACATTATCATGTACATGTATTGAACTTCTGAAGCATGAAGCAGTATTCAACAGAATTATTGTAATTTAAAAAGTGAATCAGATGTACTAACCCTTGAAATTGTATTACATATTGTATGAAGTAGTATGTGCCAAATGCAATACTAGTAATTAGATGTTGGCAAATACCGGTAGCCAACAGTTGAATCGCACATGTAATTTCCAACTGATAGGTGAATATGGCCTTCTTCAATGTGAAGCATTCCCCATAGAATACGATAAACATCTACCTTTTAGGCACTCCTGTATCCGTATGCATTTATGCCCCTTCCTTATAAATTTATATAACTCATACTTTCTAGGGCGAGTTTCGAATCAGAATATGAAACCGCACGACTGGATTTTATGTTGTTCAAATAGCATCACTGAGAAATAGTACCCCCATAGTTCAGAAAAAAAATGTCGTCAACACAGCACAATTTCCACCCAGACATCATTGCTACTGATTTTGGTTCATGGCTCATTTTACTGCAATTTTAAGTATGTGTGGTATATTTTGCTGTTTACCAGATTGCACTAGAATCCAGTGAAAATTCTGTTGCTCTTCCATCTATGGAGTGGAATTTACTTCAAACCATTCCTTAGTTCTGAATAGATTCATTTGTTAAGTACATGTATCTTGATTTTTATAAATGTCTTCCCAGTTGTATTTTTTTATTTTAATACACAGCTAAGATTTAGTGATTTGTATATTCTGTTAAATAAATTATTTACATGTCCAATGTAAAAATGCAATGAGTCATTTTATCCCTAGTACATGTAACTGTTTAGCTAATGAATTTTGGTAATTGTAATTTATAGAGCT